CATTCACCATGCTCTGGTGTCTTCAAACTCTTAGAGAGATTCATCAAATCTCTACGTGATTGCCCCGGATTGACTGTAGTCGGCACAACAAAGTCTTCGAATTTTTGCCCCAAACGAGCAAACAAGTTGGGAAAAGCATTAACTGGGAGAAGCAACATGTTCGTGCTTACGGTCTTCATGTGACATGCCCATGGATATGATTTTTTTATTGACATGATCCGCCAATTACTCAACATAGTTTCAGGCCTTAAAAGAATAAACTCATCACTGGTGCTTATGTGAGCTTCCTTGATATCAAACAAATGTTTTGCAGTTAGAAAAAGTTTACAATGAGAATGAAAATTCTAATGCAACAGTTATGTGAGTCTTGAAGATTTTGAAAGATATCGCACAAATTTTGCGAGTTAAAGCACCATTTATTTTTGTATAGGAAAAACATATGATACCAACATAACTATTTAGAACATTCATGGGAGTCAGGAACACTATCTCATTGAAGTATGCTTTCAAAATAACCTTGCTTCAATTAGGACTTTTGAAGGTTGTAACGTGGTCTGGTTCATGGTTTTTTAGAAAAAAGATTTTAAGGCTCAAAATATTTGGTGCCCACCCCCTTCATGATGTTCTCCAACCCTATGTTCAGTTAATTCAACATGAGTGTTCATCTCTCAAAAGGATTTTGTGACGGTCAAGGAAACGACGAGGCTTTCGGAGTAGAAACCACCCTCATGTCTTCGTGTTTGTAGTCACCAATTTGTTCTTTGCTGAGGACTTTTCTTTGCAGTCCTTTTCTTTGCAATTTTTATTTTCCCTAACTTTTGCCTGAACTGATTCTTTTGAATTGATAGTCCAGCGGGATGCCTTAATTTTGCCTAAGTCACACGTTTTCATGTTTTTTGACTTAGCAGGCTTTTTCTTTTTCTCGATTTTTGACTTTTTGAACAAAATGTGTGACATTAGCTTGTCTTTGCTTGTTGAGAGGATTGTGATTGCCTCGTTTCTTGATGAATGAGGGTTAACATGGTGGTTCCACATCCTCTAGATTCATTATACATGAAGGATAGCCCTCGTAGTTTCTCTTCAAAAAACATCTTCCTTATGAATTTTGAACACTCAGTCAGATTAACTAAAAAACTACCCTGCCCCAGGTTAAAATTCAAGGTTTTTTCGTATAGAAAAGAAACTTCTACTTCAAAGGCTCAAAAGGGGCTAGCAAGGGATTATCTTCCTTATATCTCCGGTGTTTAGGGATTTGAAACAATGCTTGTACATCATCAGCAAGATTTTATCCAAAAGCAAACAACCAGAGATTTTGTGTTCTTTAGATCACCATCCTCCCTTCAATCTCTGCCTAGGCAAGAGAATGAGCAACAATTTGGTATCATAGTGCAAAAGCAATTTAAAATTTGAAAACAAACATGAGTGAAACGAATGAATTTATTCAAGACAAACATACTCATTGTATTAAGATAATCATTCAGATGCAAACAAGTTCTTACATGCAAACAATGTTTTGACAAACAAGAAAGATTACAAAAAGCATAAATAAGTTAATAATCTGGGAAGGCTTTCCATCTGGACTTGAATCACCGAAAACATCCTTCAAAACTCAAAGTGACCATCAATCGTGTTTACTCTTCGGCATGTGCTTGATTTGAACTTCAAAACCAACGTCCTTGAATGACAAGATACCACTTCTGACCGACTTCTGAACCTCGATCTTCAAAGCAAAGCAACCCTCCAAGTCATGCCCAGGAGCACCTTGATGAAAGGTACATGTCAAATCAGCTTTGTAGTACCAATGTATCTTCTCAGGAACCTTCGGTGGAGGTCGGGTCTGAACCAAATTCCTCTGCATCAGGATAGGGAACAACTCTGTATAGGTAATTGGAATTGGATCAAACTGGGTTTTCCTTTGATTAGGAACTTACTGATTCTGTTGATGAATAGGAGAAACATGATGATTCTGACAATGATTATTTCTTCCTCTGGTTCTCTTCTTGGAAAAGTTATTATCAAACTTCTTCACACCATTAGTTGAGCTACCATCTTTATATGAACATCCCTTCCCAACATCTTCTTCTAGACGCACTCCCACATTCACCTTGTCAGGAAAGTCATTAGGTGCATTAACCATCACCTTCTCATGAGAGAATGATTTTAGAGTTTCAGTGAAGATTTTTATCATCGCTTCGTCCTTCCTAGAAGGATTGACTTGGGCGACAACCAGAATTTCAACCAAACCAGTTAAGCGCTCCACACTAGCTTTCAAATTAGTCATCTCTCTACGGAGTTCAGAAACCTCTTGCTTGATATTCTCCATTGTTCTCTTAGCGCGAGTGTTGTACTGGTGAGACCAAAGAAAAAATAAGACTCGGAAAAAGACCTTTGAAAGTGAAACAAAAAAATGTAGAATGATGTATGATATGCAAGAGAGAGTTTTTATTTGATTTTCAAGGAACTCAAGATATTAAGTTGTAAACATCAAAGTATGAAGATTGGATCAAAGCGTTGATCAAGTTATCATCAAGATCAATCATCCATTTTGGTGGATTAGGGTTTTCACCCTATCAACAGCCAGGATCCATTGAGATTGACGAAACTTGTGATGTTTACAAAGAAAGACCTCCAAATTCCTTGAAAATCAAGTGAAAAGGGTTTTATGGATGCATGAATGCATGGCTATGCAAAAACCACAAGCAAGGTTACAAATAAAGTCGAAAGGTTCAACGTCACGAGCATGGAGTCAAAGGTAAAGAACATCCCCAAGGTATGTATTAACGGTTTAATCACACCTGCAAGACAATGTTCTAAGAGTTCCCGGAGTCTACATTCCTCCTTCGGATATTACCAACGTCTTGATTACTCAATAATCAGCAATATTCTCAAGAGAAACTCATCCGAGCGTAGCATCGCGTAACAATTATTTCTGGATTACTCCGTTATAATCTCTGCGCTACACCTAAAAGGCCAAGATGGGTTAGGGTTCTACGGTTCCCAGCTTCTCTGGCTCCCAGGTCGAAAATAATAATGTCTTCCCGATTACTCGGTAAACAAATATTACGTTCAAAAGGGCCTTCCACTGAGTGGGGGATCCCATGCCTCCTTCTTCGGGATTACTCCCTCAAATTTAACATGACTATACCGCTCGTCCTATTCCTAAGTGTAACTTAGTCCGGGTATAGGACTTGTCCTTGGTAAATATTATCAACATCCAAATAATCATAATATATACATATAATCAAACAATCAAATAATGATAAAACAGATAAAACAAATTAGGCTTACCCACTTAGGGATGGACCAGCAAGAGGTCAATCTTTCCCCAGCAGAGTCGCCAATTCTGTAGCGGTGAAAATCGGAGATCAAGCTATTAATTAACTTGACTCACAAAAGCAAGAGTCGCCACCGCGCTTTATTATTTCCAAGGGAAAAGGGAAAAGAGCAAAATAAAACCCTAAAGTATGCAATGTAAATTAATATTTAAAAGTAATGAAAATACAATGCATTTTTAAAAGAGATCGAGAGTTCGGGGGTTGGTTATACAATGGGAAGGTACTAGCACCCAATGCATCTGCGGTACTCCGCAGGAACCTTTTGAAATATCTGTTTTTGGTTAAAATTGTTAGTTTGATTAAAATGATTTGTTTGGTCAAAATGGGTATGGACGAGATTTTGAAGATACGATGACCTAGTGTTGAAGTTTTGACTTAAAAGGTGTGAGTTTGAAAATGGAGTCTTTTGGGAAAATTATCTTGAGTTTAGCAAAATAGTAAACAAACAAAAGATGAATGAGGGTATTCGCACGATTGGATGAGATGGGTTTGATGACGTGAAGTCAACAAAATTTAAATCTTTTCCTTGGAGTAAGCAAAATAAAATGAACATCAAAATATAAACATTCAGAAGTTTACAAGAAAATAAATCTGACAAAAAACAAATTAATGATCAAGAGGCACCGAGAAATTGAAATGACAGAAATATACAAATAAAAAGGAATATAACTAATTATCTAAAGAAGTTATTCGAACTAAATTAAAAATTACTTACTAAAATAATTCTAAACTAATTACAAATTCTAAGGTTATAAAAAAAAATCTAGTATTATTGAATTTGATCTAAACTAAACTAAAGCTTTAAAATTTAGTAAGTTAAATCTAGATTAAATTAAAATCCTAAGGTTACTAAATTAAATCTAAAACAAATGAAAATTTCAAAGTTACTAAACTAAATCTAAATCAAATAAAATTCTAAAACTACTAAACTAAACTTAAATCAAATAAAAACTCTAAAGTTATTAAACTAAATAAAAATTATAAACTTATTAAACTAATTCTAAATCAAATAAAAATTCTAAAGTCACTAAATTAAAACTAAACAAATAAAATTCTAAAATTAACTAAATAAAATCAAATAAAATTCTAAAGTCACTAAACTAAAACTAAACAAATAAAATTCTAAAGTTAACTTAAACAAAATCAAATAAAATTCTAAAGTTATTAAACTAAAACTAAACAAATAAAATTCTAAAGTTAACTTAAATAAAATCAAATAAAATTCTAAAGTTATTAAACTAAACTAAAACAAATAAAATTCTAAAATTTACTAAATGAAATAAAATTCTAAAGTTATAAAACTAAACTAAAACAAATAAAGAATTCTAAATTAATATTAAACTAAAACAAATAAAATTCTAAAATTTACTAAATGAAATAAAATTCTAAAGTTATAAAATAAATCTAAACTAATTAAAAAATTCTAAACTAATATTAAACTAAATTAATTATAAGATTTACTAATATTTTTTTTTTAAAATTAAGGCAGCAAAGGGTATCGCCTCTTTCATCATCAACTTAAATTCCTCTCCATTTTTCTATGCAAACATGAGTATCTTCTTTCATTTTACAACCACACATTATATATTCAGCTCATAAAGTAATTACACATGACATGCATTTTAATAAAATAATAAAAAAAAAACAAAATAAAGCATATAACTTTCAGATTGGAAAACAAAATTTCAACAACACTTCATCTCTTCTCCCAACCCTTTTCCGTAAAAGCAAAAGCATGGAGGCACTAACCAAATAAACATAACCTTCAAATCTTGAACCCAATGCATTCAGTCTTTCACCAAGATCTTTGATTAAACGAAGACTAACCGTGTGACTCCTGTGTTGGTAGATCTGAAGGTGCGGGTGGTGATATTGGTGTTCGTCGGTTTGCGGTGCTGTTATTGACGGAGCAGAAGCTGTGGGGGTATATGAGAGCGGAGCTGGGTTTGTCGTGGAGGCAGAAGGGAGGAAAAATGGAGTTTGTAGGTGGTGGTGTTTGTTGATTAGCAGAGAGAGGGTTACGGTGAGGATGTTTGGGAGCGGTGGAATGGGTTTAGACGGAGGGGAGTATTGAGATGGAGGGATGCAGCGGCGATCTGAAATTGGAATGGAGGATAACAGATCGGAGGGAGTGGTGTTGCGCGTAACAGAGGCGATGATGATGGATACCGTAACGGAGAAGGGCATTGTTATAGTGAGTTACTGTTGGAAACCGCGGAATGGATGGAAGTTAGGTGATGCGGTGATGATGTTATGGTGATGGAAGGAAGGGAATTGGACGGCGAGAAAGGGATTTAGGTGGGTTTGTGAGGTGGTATGGGCGTGAGGAGAGAAAAGGGTATGTTGTGTTGTATAGAAGAAGAGAGGAAAAAGTAGTTACTGTTTTTGTTGTGTGTGTCCCCCTTTGCAAAGAAAATAAGAGACCTTTAAATAGAACAATGAAGAGGAAAATTGATCTCAAGAATTGATCAGAACCGTTCAAAATCATTAATCCGCAAATTAAGTTATCAACCAATAGAAATAGAGCAAGGTGTATTTAATTTTTTTTATGACAAAAACGCCCTTAAATGGAATAAAACTGAAAGTATTAAAATTAATTCAATTTAAAATAATTTTTTTGAATAAAAAATAAAGAGCTAAAATGACCTAAAACAATAAAGAAGCGGACGAAAATTTATCTGAAAAAATAAAATTAACACGTTAAAATACTCTACATGTCACAAAGATTAAAGAAAAAATATTCAAAAAGAGTAAAAATAGGAATAAAATGATAATGAAAATACCAGGCTAAACAGACGTTTTATGGTTAAAAACGAGACTTCAAACTGTATCGAAAAAATAAAGCGAGCATACCGTCATAATCTATGCGAGATGCAGATTCATAAAATGATCGGTAAAAGGTGAAAACTTGAAATATTTTTCTCGCTAATTTTTCGTACATTGTTGAATCGCTTTTAACAGTTTGTCTATAAAACCAAAATATTTTTATTATCGACATATAAACAACTTGGAGCAATGCAAGAAACAAGTAAAGAGATAAAAATGCATGAAGTGAAATGTCAGGTATTTTTTAACTAAAAGACGATGCAAACTTTGATTTAAACTGACTTTTCTGGTCAACTTAAATACGACTAATGATGCAAAATATGATGAATGAAGATATTTACTAATGATTGTGACCAAATGACAAAATATGGTATGAATGTGCGACTGAAAAAATTAGGGGCGAAATTAAGGGTGCAACGGTGTGCCTTGATGAATCAGTCTTCGAGAATCCACAATCAACCGTACTTTTGGGCTTGGGAGACTCAAAACCTTAATTGAGGCGCGACACCTGATGCTCTTGATTCAGACCTGTCTCTGCACATGACACAAAAGAAAACATGAACATACACCTTTGTATGGATTAGAAATTAGTGATACATAGGTTAAAAATATTCAAAACACTTGACAACCTTCACATAGTCAATGCTTTAAGGTGAGAGATTAAAACCGACTGTATTTCGTGACCTTGACTTATCTTTAAAAATGCAAAAATAAAAATGGGATCTTAGGTCAAAAATTGGGGTACAACAGTTAGGAGGCAAGATCCTTTTTAGCACCAGATCACCAGCTTGAAAATTCCGCGGATGTACCCTCTTATCGAAGGCTTTCTTCATCTTCTTTTGGTATAACTGTACATGGCAAATTGACGTCAATCTCTTCTCATCAATGAGATTCAGCTGATCGAATCTATTCTGGACCCACTCAGTCTCATCCAATCATGTATATGTCATTATCCTCAAAGAAGGGATTTCCACTTCCACTGGTAGGCCTGCTTCCATGCCGTAAACAAGCGAAAAAGGGGTTGCCCCAGTTGAGGTACGCATGGTGGTACGATAACCATGTAAAACAAATGGTAGCATCTCATGCCAATCTTTATAAGTGATGACCATTTTCTGCACAATCTTCTTAATATTCTTGTTTGCTGCCTCAACTGCGCCATTCATCTTAGGACGGTAAGGAGAGGAATTGTGATGTTTTATCTTAAAGTTTTCACACAACTCTTTCATCATCTTATTATTGAGGTTCGACCCGTTGTCGGTAATAATATTTTCGGGGATCCCGTATCGACAAATTATGTTATGTTTGATGAAACGTGCTACCACCTGTTTAGTGACATTGGCATAAGATGCTGCTTCGACCCACTTAGTAAAGTAGTCGATAGCCACCAATATAAAATGGTGCCCGTTGGAAGCGGTTGGCTCAATCCGGCCAATCATATCAATACCCCACATCGCGAAAGGCCAAGGTGAAGTTAGGATATTCAGGGGATTGGGAGGCACATGCATCTTGTCAGCATAGATCTGACACTTATAGAAGATCCTGGAATGCTCGTAAAAATCATTTTCAATTGTTGACCAATAATAAGCTTCTCTCAAGATCTTCTTGGCCATAGTATGCCCGCTAGAATGTGTCCTAAAAGAACCTTCGTGCACTTCTTCTATGATCCTACTTGCTTCGTGTCTATCCATGCATCTGAGCAAAATGGAATCATAATTCCTCTTATACAGGACATCACCGTCGAGGAAAAACTTGGCGGCAAACTTCAATAAAGTCTTCTTATCTGTGACAGAAGCACCTTCTGGATATTCTTGGGTTTTAAGATACCTTTTGATGTCATAAAACCATGGCTTCCCGTCAACGACATCTTCTCCTATTCCATAACAGAACGCCGGTTCATCCAACCTTAGGATAGTGATAGAAGGAGCCTCATTTTCCCATTTAACCTTAAACATGGATGACAGAGTAGCCAAGGCGTCAGCCAAGTTATTCTCCTCCCTTGAAATATGATTGAAAGTAATCTCATCAAAATAAGGGGTTAGCTTCAACACATGCTCGCGATACGGAATCAAATTTGGGTGATGAGTCTCCCAATCTCCGTTGATTTGGCTAATTACCATAGTAGAATCTCCATATACTTCTAAGGTCTTGATTCGCAAATCAATAGCAGCTTCTAACCCAAAAATACAAGCTTCATACTCAGCCATATTGTTCGTGCAATCAAATAAAATCCTGGCGGTAAAAGGAGTATGAAAACCTTCAGGAGAAGTAATCACCACACCGACATAATTACCTAACGCATTGGAGGCACCATCGAACACCATTGTCCATCGTGATCCTGGTTTGGGTCCTTCCTTTGGGCATGGGATGTTACAATCTCGTATGTACATGATGTCTTCATCAGGAAACTCAAACTTCATTGGCTGATAGTCATCTTTCATATGTTGGTGGGCAAGATGATCTGCCAATATACTACCCTTGATAGCCTTTTGAGTGGTATATTGGATGTCATATTCGGTCAAAATAATTTTCCAACAAGCTATCCTTCCCGTGAGGGCTGGTTTTTTAAAGATGTACTTGATTGGGTCCATCTTAGAGATCAGTAAGGTGGTATGAGTCAACATGTACTGTCTTAGTCGGCGAGCAGCCCATACCAAAGCACAACAAGTTTTCTCGAGCAGTGAGTATCTTACCTCACATTCGGTAAACTTTTTGCTAAGGTAGTATATTGCGTGCTCTTTTCGACCAGCCACGTCATGCTGCCCTAATACACACCCCAGTGAGTTCTCTAATACCGTTAGGTACATTATCAAGGGTCTACCTTCCACCGGGGGTGAGAGAATTGGAGGTTCCATCAAATACTCTTTAATCCTATCAAATGCTGCCTGGCAATCGTTATTCCACCTGCCCGTCTGGCTTTTCATTAACAATCTAAAGATTGGTTCATAAGTGGCTGTAAGGTGGAAGATAAACCTAAAAATGTAGTTCAATCTCCCGAGAAATCCGCAAACCTCTTTTTCTATTTCCGGCACCGATATTTCTTGTATAGTCTTTATCTTACTAGGGTCAATTTCAATTCCCTTCTCGCTTACGATGAACCCTAACAGTTTCCCTGATCTCACTCCGAAGGTGCACTTATTTAGATTTAGCCTTAGTCTGAACTTCCTTAATCTTTTAAATAATTTCAACAAATGAACAAGATGTTCCTCTTCTGTCTGGGATTTGGCAGTCATATCGTCGACATATACTTCAATCTCTTTATGCATCATGTCATGAAAGAGAGTGACCATTGCACGTTGATAAGTTTCCCTTGCATTTTTCAGACCAAAGGGAACTACCTTATAATAAAACATCCCCCAAGGTGTAATAAAAGTAGTCTTCTCCATGTCTTCTGGTGCCATTTTAATCTGATTATAGCCAGAAAAACCATCCATGAAGGAGAACACTTTAGCTTGAGCGGTATTGTCAACTAGAATATCAATGTGTGGCAACGGGAAATCATCTTTTGGACTCACTCTGTTCAAGTCCCTATAGTCCACACACATTCTGACCTTTCCATCCTTTTTAGGTACTGGTACAATATTTGCGATCCACGGCGGGTAAGAAGTTACTTTCAAAAAACCAGCATCAAATTGTTTCTGAACCTCTTCTTTGATTTTCTTAGACATCTCAGGATGAGTTCTTCAAACCTTTTGCTTAACAGGAGGACACTCTTCTCTAAGAGGTAGCTTGTGCGTAACGATATTCGTGTCTAAACCAGGCATGTCTTTATAGGACCAAGTGAAGATATTTGTATACTCACGGAGCATTACGATTAAACTGTGCTTGATACTGTCTTCTAGAGCATCCACAATCTTAACTTCTTTTCGGTCCTCTTCGGTTCCTAAGTTGATCAACTCAGTGGTTTCTTGGTGTGGCTGAATGACCTTTTCTTCTTGCCTTAGTAATCTAGCCAACTCTTCAAGAAGTTCGTAATCCTCCTCAGTTTCTTCTTTAGCTTGATATATTGGATTTTCAAAGTCATAGAGAGTCATAGCGGAATCGTTCCCGACACTTTCTAGGGTTAATGAGGGACACAATCTGCATGGTTATTTTTATTTTTATTTTATCCTTAAATGTAAAAGAAAATAAATCCTCGTGGCTAATAAAAAATTTCGGAAAGGCAAAGAGTGAAACATTTGAAAACAAAAGACATTCTTTATTGATGAATAAACTTGTAATAAAAAAACATTGTGGCCTTACAGCACGTCCACTATGTCCCGGGCAGGACATATGGATTATTGCATGATAAAAAAATAAAAGAAAGTTACTCTTCATAATGGGTGACTTCGACGATGTCCTCGGCGAACCAGTTAGTAAGCTTT